ATAATAATAATAATACATATAAATCTGGCCAGTTGTTATGGTAACATGTTCCGACCGACAATGTTGACCGGAGTGGTCCACATTCTCGGCCCAACTGCAGTTCCTCTCTCAAGACGCAGGAGGACTGTCACGTTAGTTGTCTTGAGGGCAGTTTTGAAACTACCTACCACAGTTAATGCGGAGTGTCTCCGTCGTTAACTCTCAGAGCATGAAAGCGTTAAGATTTGGGCTAACCATTGTTCGACAGTAAGTGCAGTTGACATTTAATATTTATGATAAACGCCTTTATGTTGAGCTGCTTGTTGCTCCCATACAAAGCGACACTTAAACCTCTCCATGGAGCTCACTATTTGCTGGTTTTAATAATATATTGATATATTCCTGTGTGTGGATAATCGATATATGTGTGGGAAATGATATCAATGTTCAGCTTCTTCGTTAAGCCTGTTAATATTTAAGAAGTAACCAGTTAAGTGTGCAGCTGTCGGTGCTCTAACTCTAACAGGTGTTAACCGCGTTCTCGATGTGCGCCTGCGCGGTCCCATATTGGAGAGGTCACTGCAGAGGGATGCAGACTTCACTACAAACTCCGCTGTCATTCGCTTAATTCTGAACAGATATTCATGAAATTTGGTTTTTTATAAACGTGAGAAATTAAAGCTGATACTAGTTACTGGTTGGTGTTATTTCAGTCACTGTGGGCGGATCTAATCAGCTGTATGCCACAAAAAAAACAGCGAAAACAGACGATGATTAACACAAAAAGTCACTTTTAACCAAAAAACAGAATGAAAACAATGCAATGTGTACTAGTGTGTGTGAGGTGGTAAATAAAGTGTCAACACATGAAATAGTGAGGAAAATAATTCACCTGTGTTGATTTATTTGTTTTCCTGCAGACAAACTTCACAAAAATGTCACAAAAACAGGAAACCAGGTGGCTTTGCAACAATATAATAGATACAGAAATCTACATTTTTAGAGAAACAAAAGCTAAAATTCTGAATCATTTACACTTGGTGTTGCCTGTTCATAGATCATAGCCTGCATGTCCCAGTGGAAGTTGTGGTTGGTTAGAAGTAAATTTTTTGTGCACACAGCAGCAGCCAATGAGGGATCTATGTTTCTATATGTGTGGTGTCACTTACTGTCAGGTACAAACAGACCTTGGCAGTGTCAGCCTCTATTACATAGTCACATTTTGTAATAATGTCAATACACACAGGACAGTTCCTGGAACGCCGTAGCTGACTGTGAACAAGGACAGTTTCATAAGGATACACGACCCCTGCTCAGCTGTCCCAGTCCACCTAATGGGTACTCTGTACACTCAAGACTGGTTCAGTCTTTGTAGAGACTGCAGTAACTCCTCAGGACCACCAGAGGTCAGAATAAGTCAATTAATGACTAAGTCCCCCCTTAAACTAAATCTAGAAAACCAAATTGGAATAATATGGTCCAGAAATTTGTTTTGATATGATAATAATTTGTTAATATGAACAGATGCAATCCATATTAAATAAATGTGAAATCATAGATTGTTTGTGGGTCACAGGTAGAACCATTTATTTACTTAGTGTCAAAAGAATTTATAAAAATAAAACCAGAATCTAATACATTACAGGTAAAAATGAGCAAAATTCAGCAATCGTTTCGATATTTTATTAATTTATTAAGTCAGTTTCCAGACAAAATCTGGTTCCAGCTTCTTTTCTTTTTGTTATGTAATTGTAAATGAAATATCTTTTGGTCAGATGAAAGAAGCCATTTGAAGACTTGAGACTGAGAGTTAGCTCTGGGAAATTGTGAAAGGCATTTTCACTATCCTCTGATATTTTATAGACTAATCATTCAGTTAATCAAATCAAAAAGTAATTGGTAGATTCATTGATGAAGAAAATAATCATTAGCTGCAACCCTAGCTGACACTGCCAAAGGAATGATCAGACAATAACGTATTGAACAGTAGGCTCTTGTGTTAATAATAACATCTGCTGTACTTTATTTTCTGCAGTGGGGAAACTCCGTACAATAAACAAGGCCTGCTACAAGGTAAACAGTATGATCGATTACACTCTGTTTCTCTCTCTCTCTCTCTCTCTCTCTCATGCTTTCCTCTGTGTCTTACTTTCATACTTCCACTGTCCCTTCCACACAGGCCAGGCTATAGATTCACCCTTGTCTGAGATCGGGCTGCAGCAGGCCGAGGCTGCGGGCCGTTACCTGAAAGATGTCAAGTTCAGCAACGTGTTTGTCAGTGATATGCTGCGGGCCCAGCAGGTACCACGCTTGACTTCAGGAGTGGGCGCATGAATGAATCTTAAGATGAAAAATCAATCAAGACAGTGTGGGATATCTTACTGCATGGTTGGATGCAGTAGAAATACACTACACTGTATACAGTACATTAGACTGTAAACACTAGTCCAGTGTGGGCAGCCAGGGGGGCGGGAAGATGAGGGAAAATGGAATTACTATTAAATTAATATCTAAATCTAATTTAAAATAATATATTACAATATAAATCTTATTTGCCATGCCCATTGTTCTAATTACTTGCCAGTCAAACCATAATTCATCACATAAACTGTAATCAGTGTGTGGCTAACTCACAGAAATGGACAGGTTTTGGAATCTAATGCAAAGATTTTACTATTATTTACACAAATGTAATAATTTTTGCATTTATAAAAGAAAGGAAACATATTCTATATTTTTGCCCAATATCTTGGAAAAGGGTGACCCCGGCCATAAGCTACTGCTGTTTACGGGGCCTAGGCATGGAAAAGTTTGGAAAACCTCTGCATTAGTCCACACTTTTTATGTTTTATTTTCACAATGGCGGTATGTTACAGTGTGTCAGTACGTGATGAGTGTGTGTTATTTCTTCCAGACCGCTGAAGCAATAATGAAACACAACAGCAGTTGTTCGGGCCTACAGATGGTGTCTGACCCTTTACTTAAAGAGAAAGTGAGTAGCGTTTGGTTTGTGTGATTTTACAACTTCATAGCAAAATCATTATCTCAATAAAACATTTAAGATATATTTATTTATTAATGAATAAACTTGAGTCATCCAGTCACTGACTTGTTATTTTTCAGAGCTTTGGGATAGCAGAGGGGGGGCGAGTGCAGGACTTAAAAGAGATGGCCAAAGCAGCCGGTCAGTCGTTTCCAGGCTTCACCCCTCCAAACGGAGAGACTCAGGACCAGGTGAGGTGGGGTTTGTTGTAGAAGGGATCAGTGTCTGTTTTTCTGTTATTTTATTGTTCATGTGGGTATTACTTATTCTTCTTTCTGTCCTTCTGGGTCTTTTACCATTTATATTTGTTTGTCTCTCTCTTTGCTCTCCTTTCGCCTCTTGGAAGCTCATAGTTAGTTGTGACATTGTCACAAAATTGCTTGGAATAAGAAGTGCCATCCTCTGAACACAGTACTGAACATACTGTGCTAGATGTAAAACATTTATTGACTTCCTTATTTACATTAATATTGACTGCTAACATTAATAATCCCACACTGGAAAGTACACTGAATTAAAAGTACAGCGTCTTTGCATCAACATGTTGCCCTTTGCAGTTACCATATTTTATTGTCTTCTAACACTGAATCAAATAGAAAACAGTAAACAAATACAGAGTGATTAAATTAATATCAAATGATAATAAATAATAACAATGAGGTACAAAAGACTAATTTGACAAGGATCTGTTTCTGGAAATGCATGTTGCTGGTTGTCAAATGTAATTTTAATCTCTCATTCCTAAACATTGACACATAAAACCAAAACTTCTGCATTGCCAAACTCCGGATATGCATCTGACCTTAATGCCCTGATACAATATACACATAAAACCACTAGGTGGCAGAAAACCCTCATCTCCCAAATCAGTCCCTTTCTCTGCATGGATGTATCCTGCAGTGTCGGGGCCTCTTTGCATCCACATGATTGTATTTCTTTTGTATCTACCTGAGCACTTCAGGAGGATCAAAGTACGTGCCCTTCCACTGTCAGACAACTGCAGAGTGTTCGTCACTGCCCTCGATTAAAAAGTCACTTAGCTTTGTGTTATTTGAGTTAGAGGCTGTGTGGGAGGACAGTGTGTGTGTCTGTGGGGTTGGGGGGGAGGGTGGGGGCGTCGGAAAGAAGGATGTTCTATTTCAAAGGGACCTCGTCAGGCTTCATCTATTAGATCTTGGCTTGGACGTTAACTCTGGTCCAACCCAGTACGTGACCAGCACATCATGATGATGATGCAGAAATACAAATATAGATTTGACGTAAGCAGCGAGCGCCCCAATCAGTGTCTAGAGCTAGAGGCCTCCCTCCCAGCTTTTCTCAGCGAGTTACAGGTTGTCGTGTCAGGATGAAACTGGAGTTGGCACCTGTGGAAGAACAGTTGTGACCACGTTGTTTTGAATAAAACAACTTTTAACTTTGATCCCTTACAGCTGCATGTAGTCACACTTCCATGACTGTTAGTGGAGAAAGAAAGAAGCCATGACGCAGTTTATAACAGGTTTTTGCTCTGTTCAGGTGAAGGAACGGGCCAAAGAGTTTTTGGAGAAAATGCTTCAGAAAATTGGGGCCGAACACTGGCACAACAGAGGGGAGGATGAAACCTCCCTATCTGCTCCCCAAGAAACATCTCCTCCGGAGGGAAAGGCTGACGATGGCGTCAGGGGCTTCCCCGTCCATGCTTTGGTTGTCACCCACGGGGCCTACATATGCGTGGCAGTCCGCTACTTTGTGGAAGAGTTAGATTGCTCCTTGGCTCCGAGTTCTGATAAAGCACATATGTTCTCTTTAAGTCCCAACACAGGTCTGTGTCGGTTTGTACTAACCATTAGAAAAGAGGACGGCAGGTTCAAATTGTCAGAGATCCGCTGTGTGTTCGCCCACAGAGGGGACCATGTTAACTAGGAGCTGGATGAACGCAGATTTTTAAGGAATGTATAGAAGATAACTAAAAGAGAAAGGAAAGGAAATGTGAAAAAGCTCCAGCGACTGAACACTGTTTACAATTTAAATAATTTTCTGTATTTAGGTTCTGTATTTATTTTTATTTGGTGCCTCGTAACCTCAGTATTGTTAATACGGAAATTGATGAATGAACAAAGTTTAACCTAGTTGTTTAGTATAAGCATGTTCTGACAATGAAATGATCAAATAACCTAATTCAAGTATTTAATTTAATTTACCAGTGGCAGTGTCTAAAAAACCATTATAAAATGCTTAAATTAATTCAGTTTACACCAAAATATGGATTAAACAATACATATAATGTATCCCCATTCATTTATACTGCGACCTTTAAGATATGTGTAATATTAAGTATTTAAGTACTGTTTCATGAGTTGAGTGCCTTCGTTTAAAGTCAGATTGACAGTTTGTGTTGCAGGGGAATGTCATCATCACTTTGTTACTGTCTGGCTGTTCATTACTGTAAATGTGGGCAGCTTTGTGCTCTAATGAGTGTGTGTTTCTATTTTTACTCTCCGGAACTTCATAGATTTTACGTATGAATACAGAGCAGAACTGCGACAGTGTTGACTTTTTGGAAATCAGTGACTTTTTCATTGTTGTGAATTAACACTTCGGTCAACAAGGACAAAGGCATTGCATGCCACATGTTGTACTGTAGCATGTATGCACGGTTTCTCTGCTTATCACTCCACTCTGAGTGTAAAACTAAAATATTTATAGTAGATAAACATTACTACTTCTATAACACAATCAAGAGAATAACTGGATTGTATTAAAAAAATTTTTTTTAAATATTATAACGGAGGAATGCTGTCAGACTTGTGCAGTTTAGTATATTTCTTGAATAAGATAATATAGCTGTTACCTGTTTCTGTATCATAGTGCTATGTGTGGAAACTTGCCAAAAACAATAAAAGATATATTTTTCTGTTAAACTCCTTAAATAAAACCCACATTTAGTCCACGCAGGGTCTCATCTGTTCACCTCCACGTGATATATAGCTTCGATTTTACATATAAAGGCCCTAGAATGTTTTTATAACAGCTTGCATGCTCCTTCATTTACATGGTTGTTTGATATGCATTACCTCAGTTGGGAATTGTTTGTCCAGGTCTAATATTTGCCATTACATAACCAATTGGCTGTGTGCATAATAACCATGTGATTTTTGTGGCCTTTCAAATGGTTGGTAGGCAAAAGATGTTGTTTTTAGTACCTGGTACATTACATCTCTCCTTGTTTTATACAAGGTTAATGTTCTTTGTCCATTATCCCTGTTCAAATAAAGAAATTCAGTCCCGTTCCGTAGGTTTTGTGCAGTTGTTATGATGTTAATGGTCAGAAGCACTTTAAATGTAAATATTAAGTCAGTGGTTCCCAACCGTTTTTTCCTTAAGGGACTCCTTTTCTATCCTTTAGTGAACTGACGACCCCTGCTTAGGTGACATACTTTATATTTCATATTATATTCAAAACTTTAAGTGATTAAAATGCTGAGATATAAGTTTTATTAGCATGTTTTAAAATCAAAAAGACCTTGTGACCCCCAATGAACTTAGGTGACCCCTAGTGGGGGTCCTGACCCCTAGGTTGGGAACCACTGTATTAAGTGACTCAGATACTTCATGATACATTGTAATCACCATAACCTGACCCCAGTAATAATGTGAACATAAGAGGAGAAGAAAGGACACAAGATACACATTCACTTCCGGTGCTTACTTTATTTCAGAATGCAGCAACTTTCTAGAAAGGTTTTATTGATGCTCTGTAGATAAATAAATGATCATGGAAGCAATGGCTAAAGAGAGAGTCCTGCAGGAAGCTGTTGTTGGACTAATAGGTGCAGTTCCTATTAATCTGTGTCACACTGTCCTCTCATGAAGAACATTTCTGTGAATTCTTACTTTGCACCCTTTATGGACTCTTTATGGAGCTACAATACAAACAGACAATCAACACAATTTATTCATCCACATCCGAAATAACATGAAGTATATAAATAATAAAACAGTAGGTTAGGAAGGAAGTCATTTAACACATTTCAATAAATACCTTTTCATTGCTGTGACTATTGGTGTCCAGCACCTGATATAATTTGATCCTGCTTATGTACAGATGATAGTTTTCAGTAACAAAAGTCGATTTCTGTTTAACTCCTGTTATGACGCATTACTGTATCAACAAATCTATGCATAAATATTCATAATTACTAACAGATTACACATTTTTACATATGCAACACAAACATTGCCACATCTGGTTCAAGGTTTAAAATTTAACTGACAAAAGAGGTTAAAGGACAGCAGGGCGCATGGCGAATGTTGCCAAAGTCATCCCTCGTCGGCTGTTCAAACAGAAGATCTGTACAAGCCGCTGTGATGTAACACGGTTTATGAGTACATGAGCGAGTATAATAGTTCCATAAAAACAAACTCAGAAAAAAGGATTTTATAAAATGTTATCTCTTTTCTCAGAAGTTGGCCTAAAACAAAAAAAAGAAATACCCTCCTGTGTCAGTTTGACTCTACCAGCCCTTTGTGGCTCATTCTGTGGCTCTCACTGACGCTGCAGTCCACCAATGCAGGACAAGGTGTCTATAAGTACAGTATCTACTCCCACTATGCAGTCAAACATAAAGTGAGTTTGAAAAACAAACTTAAAGACTTGCAGCCACTCTTGACTCTCCAATTATTAAACCCAAGTTCAGTATCTTTAGTCTTGTTGTACCCTGTCTGCAATATTAGTCTTGAGAGGACTGACGGGCCCGTTGGGCTGTAAGACCCGCAGGGGGTCGTCACATGAGGTGATGGTCTCTTTGGATACAGCGCCGGCTTGGTCTTGTTCTGGCTGCCCGTGATCCGCATCCTTGTGATCCTTGGCAGAATGTGAGGGATGTGACTCTGATCTTAATGGATCAGAGGGGTTCACCACCTCACTCCTCCTGTGTCTCTTTACCAAGGGGCCCAGGAACCTTTCCACCAGGGTTGAGGAGGGTTCAGGTGGCTCCTGGTGAGCATCTCGCAGCTCGGCTCCCTTCAGTTTGAGCAGCTGGCCCCCGCTCATAGAGTACAACACGTCGTGGTGGTCCTCCAGATCTAACCAAATGCGCTGGAAGAGACAGTCTTCTCTGTCCTTCTGCTTCTGTTCGGGAGGAAAAAGCAGACAAATACAAAATCTTTAATCTAACTGTTTTCCCTACAATCATTTCCTGACTTCACTCAAATGAAATGCATCTAATAAGAACTCACAGAGTTGTACAGCTCTCCCTTTACGTCCATACAGAGGAACCGTCTTCTTCTCAAATCAAATATTGACACAAAGTTGCTTGTATCTGTTCTTACTGGCAAAAGAACTGCAAGAAAACAGATTGAAACATACCATCATCAGTTATTAATGAAAGAAAAATCATATTGTAACATAAATTCATGTACTGTATATTTAGAAAAGTCTTAGAAACATGTTGAACACTGCTGGCTGCCAAAAATCTTGTTTGTTTGTATAGATGACATGCAAAATAGGGTTCAGACACCTAAAATGATGTATTATGCAAGTTTATCTAGAACTATGCCATGCAGAATGTTCTTCCAAGCTTTACTTATTATGCACAAATACATTTTGTGTTGTTTTGTATTTTTTACATTTTAGGACATAAATGTAATGCATGCTGTTGCCCTCTGAGAAATAAAATAAACCTAGCTGGACAAAGAAATTGTTGCATTTAGTGTTTAAAAAGGCTTTTATTTTCTGAAATGAATGAACTAATTTGTCATAAAAATAAATGTTTTCATGGATATAGGCCAACTTACCTAGAAAGTGTCTGTGAATGCCCTTTCTCACTGATCCACTCTGCTCCAAGTGGAAACGTCCCATACCGGCGGATGCATCTGCGTCTTCTCCCGTGTTGAAGCTGCTCTGATGATGGTGCTCTTGGCCCCGGAGCCTCATTGTACAATCCACCGGTACGGGCACATGTATGGCAATCAGGATGAGTGAGAAGAAAGCCGGTTGCATGATCAATGAGGGTGCCGTGCTCTCTTTACCCTAACAGCGTGACCGTTCAGGTTGGTGTAAGGGAAGCTACTGGAGGAGGAGAAAGTCCAACAGGTCTATTTAAACACAGGGTCAATAAACTGGCTAACTCATTTACCAAAAAGACTCAGAGCTTACCTGCTTTTACTGTGGTTAGGGGTTGCCGAGGTGGAATTCCTGCAGCTCTCACTGGTAAAACCTTTTCTCTACATAAGATAGCGTAGTTTTATCACTCTAAATGACTATAGATTGAAGCATAATTTACTCTACGCTTTGTTCAAGCCTGAAACAACTCAAACACAAATATTATTGGACTGTAACTGTAAGACATTAGAGACAGCAGATGATGTATACGGGTGATGGAGACAGAGATTCAACTTGGACAGTCTGCCTACAGTAGTTTTATGATATTACACCTCTGTTTTGGTTAGTTTTAGGTGCAAAAAAACATCTTGGTTATGGGTATGTTCATAAATTGTTAGATTTACTAACTAATTAAAACCTGTAGTATCAACCTTGATAATAACCACAGGACAAAATCACTCATTTATACCTTTCAAGCTTAGGTATGCATTGCTGATGCTAAATGAGTAATTCTGTTGTGTCACAGTATGTTGACTGAAGAGAATGATTCATACATTGCTTATTAACTATTATTAACTAACTGTACACACTTCCCCCGCTGCCCACTTCCTGTGTGCATTTCTCTTGCTAGAAAGCTTTGCTGCCTCATTTTTGGTGGTTGTCATATTTTTACCTCATTATAGAAAACGTGGAGAAAAAAAAGTCCCCTGAGCTCTTGACCTCACAATTCCTTCAGTAAGTTTTTAAAAACTTTAGAAAAGCAGGCAGTGGCAATATTTTGCTTGTTTATGAGGACAATAAAGAGCAATAGCAATATAGGTACCACTTTATTTTACAGGTCTGTTAATCCTAATCAATTCTTGAAACTTTCCTGGAAAGAACTAGTATGATAATAGGTGAAATAAAGACAAATGTTTGCTGTGTTGAGTTGGAAAAGCAATTTATTTTCAGTGGAATTTCTTTGAAAGAGTAAAAAAAAAAAAGTCAATGTTCATTTATTTATTGTTGAAAACTATCCTTCACATGTTTGTTTGCTTGCTTGCTTGTAGATAAGTTTGACATTGTCCATTCAGCTGACCTGTTGTGCACTGACTGAAAGACTATATGTGATGCATCATTTTTATTAAGATGAATTCAATCAGAAGTGTAACAATTGTCTTTATTTCACCCACCTTGTAGAGCCAAATTATAAAGTTATCTCCAGTGAACTTACTTGGAAATAATAAGCAATGCATTAAGGATAGAACCCGTGCAGAATATAGCATTACTGCAATTTGCACTCATTTCTGTTTCAGTTTCAGTTCACTTTCATTTACATTTACTTTCACATCTGTCCAAATGTTGCCCTCCTACATGTTGTCACGCTCACCAGAAGAGGGTGCCACATACTGACTCTTGCTAACTCATTGACCACGACTTCGGCTTGAGGTTTAACGTTTTCACTGGCGCTCAGTTTCTTCCCCAGTTCCTATAATAATCTGTGTCATTCAGGGAAGGCAAACATGCACCTTTAAAGCATTCGATCACAACAGCTTTTACAAAATGTCTTTTTATTATCATCTCAGGAATACAGTTGACTGCTGTGCACAGCACATACGTACAAAAATAAAAGGAAAACCATTTGTAATATAGTATTTTACTTACTCATCATCATATTTTTCAGAAACAAATGATTGGAGAAGTCTGTTGTTTCAAACTAATTTACAATCATTTCAATAATCGGAACTAAGGCAGAAGGTGAGGTATATGTTAAAAAAGAGGAGGGGGACTCAGAGGAAGCACTCTCCCCTCAGTGCAGGAATAGAAAACTGAGAGAGAAACACAAAGGCTGCCGGCACACAGGGACACACACGCACTCACACGCACACACACAAGTCTGATCCCAGATCCCTCCACAGACCTCAGTTCCCTGTGAACCAACACATTTTAAAACCAGCTGAACAGGTATGATAAGCACAATGGCAAAGATCCAGACACTGGATCCTTAATCAAATGGGGTTAACGCGTACCTTGTCCAGTCAGGACTCCATATGCATAATAAAGGAAAATTCAGAAGTAAAAGTTAATGTTGAAAGGTGATATGCTTCTTACCATTAACTACCTTCTCTCGGTTACTATCATGCAAAAGTTGTAGAACTTATTTTTCCTTTACTCTTTCAATCCGCTAGCTTTGAAAATCTGACACCAAGTTGCATTAGGTGTAAACAATATCAACTCATCAGGTGTCCCTTACTATTCCCATTCTGCCATTCAACTCATCGCTTGTTGGGCTGACTGTCCTCCGAAAAAACATGACATAATAAATCAGAAATGACGTACAGTAATTAACACAACGTTGACATCAAAAACAAGTACTTTAGATCTTGCATGTAAGCTTGTTTTGATGAAAACCTAGCAAATGAAAACAACATCTACCCCTGCTCAGTAAATTGCACTCCATAAAACAAAAATGTGCACCTCTTTATATATTTTGACAAATTAGCCAAAACACCTCTCCAACCAACTTCTCGCTGCCACAAAATCAGTCCCGACAAAGCTACGAGTGATCATGTTCTGATCACAGTTACGTGATATAGGCTGAATGAGTAGTACGATGCTCAAGGCAAATCCCCCCCCCCCAAACACAATTATCAATGGTGTCAGTATTCAAAAACATTAAACATGACATCCTGGGAGTGTCAAGTTGCTCTCTTGGATCACAGTATTCAGTCCATCAGACAACCTGTTTAACTCAAGTGTCCCTTTTCCTGGAAGCATTAGATTCTTTTTAAGTGGCCTTTTGCTACATAGCTACCACCTCAAACAGCAGTCAGTGCTTTCATCTCACAGACATCCCCTCACTATCCTCCGTGTTGCCTTTCTCTGTTCCTCTTGTCTTTATCCTCCCCCGCGAGGAGAGTACAGTACATCAGCTTGCACAGTCAGACAATGCCCTGTTATTCCTGACTCAAGGTAAATTGATCTGATACCATCTCTACTGTCGCTTTGGCAGAAACAGAACATGACAGGAGCGCGCTCAGTTGGACGCATGCACACATGCACACACACACACACACACGCTAAGACACATTCATTCTGAACAGACACTGCACATTAGTCTCTGCTACTACACATAAGCTGGAGCTTAAAGGGCACGCAAACCTTCGCTCGCAGACATTTCGTCAGTGTGTTACAGTAATGTTAAAACAGGCATGAGGTAAAATATGATAACACATACATATATATATATAAGAGCCTTGCTACTTTTCTAACTGGCCTGACTGGTGGTTTGCTACTTACAGAGTATTGCAGGTCAAGTATAATAACTTAATTTAAAATCAAAGACTCAGAAATTGAGCTCAGTTGCACCTAATTTAAACATTGAATAGTACAAGAATTTCATTGCACATCACAAGACAGCCACTTTTGTCTTGATGAAGAAATAGCCAAACAGGTGCAGAGCTCCGTAAAACAACAAGGTAGAAGCCATTGAGATGGAGCAGAAAAACACGCCTACATCAGTAATGCAAAGTACAGAAAGCCCACATCTTCGACCTTGGTACAAAAATGGCTCAGATGAGCGGGACAGGAATCCCAGGGCCCTGCATTGACCGTCCAGTCTGACACCAACCGACGAGGGGCCCACTAGTCTCATGCTTAGGTATTTTACCCCACATTATCCACATCCTCGCCAAGTTAAACAAACAACCAGTGCCTCATGCAGAGTCCCATATAAGTCCTCTGTACATCATTGCTATCTTCAACTTTGCTTATCCTTTGTCCCCCCCCACCCCCACCCCTCGTCTCCACAATGGAAAACTATCTGTAAGAGGAGCGCGAGGAGTTGTTGAATTCAAGTACGGTATGCTGCACGCACAAAGCCTGAATGAACATCGTTATTATTACAACCCCTTTGGTTCACTGTTTTATGAAACATTGCTCATAGTTCTTTTCTCACAAGAAGCCACACTGTGACTGAGCGAGCTGAATAATGCATACATAGCTTCAAAATCCGGGATGATTAAGCGCAATCCACACCTTCTAAATGTCAGACCGACTGAGTTACCTGAAGTATTCCATTTCCAGTTCTCTCTAAACCCACCCGGAGTATTTTATATTAATGCAGCAGACCATCAGATTTACAGTGACCTCAGTGACCCATCTCTGCATAAACGCGATACTTTAAGTGCCAAACATCATCAAAACCAGTGTGAAAGTCAAACAGCTCCCATCGCCACTTTTACTACAAACTCAAAATTTTCCAAAAAACAAAATCGAATAAATTAGTTTGAGTCATCAACAACAAAGTACCAAGACCACAGAGAAGCTGCAACAGATTGCACCAACTCAGTCTGAAGTGGAGTGAAATATACAGCAGACAGAAATGGAGGACATTTTGCTTCATAGTGTCAGGTCTATGATATTCTGTTACACAGACGCCGTCCTTGGCCTCCCACAATGAGGAAGAAAAAAAAACCTTTCAAATGAAGCAGCTCTCAAACAGAGCAGTTCTACATACATCCTTAAAATAAATGCATGTCCACACATATAGCACACACTCATACACTCAGTCTGGCCTCATGATCCGGCTACAAAATTTGTGAAAGTAAAACCTGGGATTGTCAAAGCTCCCTTGGACATGATGGGGTGGGGGGGTGAGTGCTGACTCTAAATCTAGCTTTCCATATTAACAAGAGGCTCCACTGGGTCCTGTGCAGCATAGAGTCTCAATTACTTAATTGATCTAATTATGGAAAGAAAATAAAGTGGAGGAACCTCTGGCCCTCTAGGAATTGAGCTAAAGCCCCCCGGTGGTGTCTGAGGGAGTGATGACTTGCGTTTCATTCCTATTTCTGACTTGAGCACCACGTTTCTCGCATGCTAGGGGTAAGGGGGCTGCAAGTAGGAATTCAAGGCACCGCCACCTCATGACGAAGCAAGAAAAACCACCGCCATGTTTGCAAGTGCTCTAGTTGCCCTGACAGCGACAGGGACAATCGAACATGGAGGATGGGAAACGTCCGAGTCCTCGATGGATGACAACAAAAACATTTGAAGTAAACAGGCATTCTTCTCTGTAGAAATTTCATGCACACATCTTCTCTTTTTCTTCTTCCTCTTCTTCTTCCCAGGATATGGTGCTTTGAGGTAATAACGTATCCATTTCATTTCCAAAAAGGATGAACTGTCATCCACTGACGGGACAAGGACTCAACCAATTCCAGCAAGCACCCATAGAAACTGAGGGGATAAATGACACCTCTCATCCCCGTCATATCACAAAATGATGAAAATCATAAAAGCAGCAAAGAATGGCATCATTTCTAATACAAAGTAAGCTACCGAAATATACATATAAAGTTTGAATAAATACTATCAGATATAGTGGTATTTCTTTCTTTTACAGTCCATTTTGTCTTTTGTGTTTGTACGTACGTATACAGTATTTTATGTTACCTGGGAAATAATCCACATGTGCAAATAAGTTTGTTATTGCCAGTTTTTGCTCATCATATTCGGGGTAGGAAGTGCGTTACAGTCATGGCAGTGGTGGCCTTGTTGCCCCTCTTCACGCGGCCATGCTTGCTGAGTGCTATGTAGGAGCCCCTGTAAACCAGAGACTCGTAGGCGTTGTAGTTGTTCGGGAGCAAGCTCTCCTTGAACTTGCACTCGTCATGGAAGACTGTCTGGAGAGGACAAAGAGACAGACACAGCGTGCATTTTAATGAAGCGCTCAAGAAAACAGGCAGTCTGTAGTCTGAAGGTATGATGGCAGAACATTAAAAAGCTCTTTAAAAAGATTCGGAGCGATGCACAAAAATATAAGGCTAAATTTAGACACAGAAATGGCAATGAGGAATTAACATTTTGACAAAGTAGAGTTATCTTTGTGCAGTCTCCCAGCAGCACCAAGCGCTCTGAAAGGTGCAGTCAGTTTGCTCCTTTAGGTATTCATTTAATTTAACTGCACAAGAAGAAACTATTGAGTGATGGTCTATTCACAGGAAAGACCTGGACTTAAAGGAATAGTTTGACATTTTGGGAAATGTTCACTTTCTTGCAGAGAGTTAGATAGATAGAGAGGATTGACACCACTCTCATGTCTGCGTTAAAGATGAAGCTACAGCAAGGAGACAATTAGCTTAGCTTAGCATAAAGAGTGGAAACAGGGACAAACAGCTAGCGTGGCTGTGTTCAAAGCTAACAAAATCTGCCTACTAACACCTCTAAAACTAACTAATTAACACCTTAGACTCACTGTGTTTAATCTGCAAATAAACCCACATTTGATGTTTTTATTTACTTTTTTGTTTTTGTTCAAATTAAACAAGATATAACGTGTTAATTATTGAGCATTAGAGGCTATTTCCCAACATGTCAAGCTTTTCCTTTAAAATGAAAAACATCTTACACCAACACATCACAAAAATCACATTAACTTTGACAAACTCTAAAATAAGCAATCAGGTATAATTCTAATCCCAATTTCCCACATAAACCCCCTCCATATAAAACCATCTCTAAATACAGCACCTGCCACTGTGAACAACAATATGAGTGAGCTGACAGCAGCGGAGCAAATACTCAGAGGCCATGTGGCCTAATTCAATCTCTTATCAGATCATCAGCCTGCTCACAAGCTAACGCTTCATCACTCACGAGCAGATAACCGACTCACATTCTGTCTGTCAAATATGTTGGTCACAGTGAGCCGACCAGCAGCCACGTGTCAGCAGGGCTCTGCTAAACACAAAGTTTCCTCCCCCCACCACCTGGAACATCTATATATTAATAGCTGCTATTGCTCTAGAAGCAAATGAATGACATCTTCTAAAGGTTATCGCCAGTAATTCTACAAACACACCTTATCTGTGAGACGAGGATAAAAAAAGTGTAATTAAACTGGCATTTCAGCCATAAGAAACTACGGCTGAAAGAGTTTCTTTGTTATCAGGAAAACAATAAAGCAACTAAACATAAAGATGAAAATTTTAAAAAAAATAAAATAAAAAGCAACAATAGATATATTTAAACAAACTGTATTTAGGGTGAGGAGACTACCTTGATATATTTGTATATATTTTTCATTCATTGTCATTTTAACTTCACTTAAACAGCTCAGAAATCATCTTTTTTATTAAAAACTGCATCTCAGATACTATGAGATACATTTTAGTTTTTAAATAGCTTGTTTTCGCCATTATTACCTCTGAAAAGACTCACACTTATTAAGAGGGTTCTGTCTGAGGTAAAACCTGAAAAAATATTTTAAAAAACAGGTTTTTAACATCATTTTTAACCCCTCACTGTTATTAAACTATAGGGTTACAACCCACCTCCCATCCCACCCATCTTTCCATGTTTCGAATGCAGGTGTTCGGATGCATCAAAGATAAATGGAAAAGGAGTCAAATGGTGCCAAATGGACACACAGCAGCATGTTTTGTGTGATTCTTATCAGACATGTAAGGAGCACAACTGCAGTTTGGTGAGAATAGCTGATAATCACAAGACTTTGAGGAATCCCTTCCAGGAGACAGATGTTCTGTCAGACATCAAACATTTTTAGAAAGATTTCTTCTTAGTATAATATACTAGAAATCAAAATGCTAGCTTCAGATTTTTTGGAGGTTAGAGGAGGGAGAGGCTGCTGCTGCTGGTGCTGGGTGAGGTGGGTGAGTTGGGCCTTTGCCTCCCAGGATGTGCCTGATGTGCACTACTCTCCAAAATAAACGCTTTGCCGTTAAAATCGATTTCTGCCAGGTTTCTGTGCGTCAGGGGGTTTTCCCTCCTCCTCCTCTCTCTCTCTC